AGAAATGGATGCATGTATGTGCCAATAGCAACAGTACCTAAAATACTGAAATATTTACAATGAATAAGACCTGATAATAATATTATAATAATATTGGATTTAATAAAACAAGTCGGAATGTTACATTTGCCCCATTTTGCCCCAAAGGTTGTTGTAAAGTAAAAAATAAAAATGATATGGATATTGTCCCACAAATAAAAGAACACATCAAAGCAATAAAATCTCTTAAATAATTATTATAGTTTTCATCCTTAATTTTGTAACTGTAGAGAATTTTGGGGGCTTGTAAGATTTGTAACTGTTTTTAGTACAAGCAGTAAAAATACAAAACAGTAATATTATGAAATATCATTGCAATTTAAAATAAATGTTTTCTATTTTAATATAGTGTAGCATGTTCAAGCATGTTGTGTTATAGATAACAATGTGCTTAATGTTAGTGTTGCACTGTGTTCATTTTTGTGTTGCGAACTGTTATTGGATGTTCGAGTTGGATGTGAAAAGAGGCTCCGCCCCTGTGTGTGTGTAAGGGGAAAGAGAGGGAAGGAGGGGGGAGAAAGGGTGCCTCGCTGGTTCAAGTGCGGTTCTCTTAGAAGTCGGGGTGTGTACGGCGTGGGTTGTGGCCGACAACAGCCCAAATAAACACCCCTTGTACATCAAAACGCCTCGTCCTTGTCGGAGAACGTTCAAATATTTTAAAATGTAAGTTCTGTGGGAACTGTGATAAATGTTTTCAGGATTCTTTGAAAGTTCAAAAGAACAGTATTTAAAACAACTATACAGCAATGTAAAAGTCTTTACTGTCACTCTTGATCAATTTAATGCATCGTTGGTGAATAAAAGTATATACTGTGATATACTGTAAAAGTTCAAAGTTAAAGCAAAAACATAAGTGCTGTACAACATTTACTAACATGATCTGGTTGAATTCATCTTCAGGTATTTTAATAATGTAGTTGCCTGAATGAAATCTAATGTAATCCCAAAAAAATTGTTTAATTCAATATTAATTTTGCAAGTGTTTTTGATATGTCAACCTCACTGGTGTAAACTGGGAATTTTAGATGAGATTTGAGGCTAGCTAAGCAAGGCTTTTGAAACCATTAAACCAATTTTCTTGTCATCTGAATTTCTGGGACCGGAGCAGCCAATAGGCTCCATCTATAAATGTACATAATTCTTTCAGATGTGTCAAAACAACTTATAGCACATAGGCAGAGGCGGCGATAGGGTGGGGCTTGACGGGGCTATAGCCCCATCAGAAACTTGCTTAACCCCGGCACAGCCCCCCCAAGGATTTCCTAATGATGTTCCTGTTTTTTGGTGTCACTTTTATAAACATTGAAAAATAAACATTAAAAACCTAAAAAAAAAATGGCCTAATATGTGGCCTATAAACAAATGATATTATGGGGGAGGGGTCAAGCAACACAAGCAGGCAAAGCGCAAACTGTGCGCAAGAGTTATGCCGGTGAACGTCAGTAAATTCACCATAGAGAAAGTGAAAGTAAAAAAACTGACGGAGCTTTCTACCGCTGCATTAACGGCGCATATTCTCTGAAACAACGAGAGACAAAACTACTTTAACATATGCTGAAAACGGTATATAACTGTCTTAAATTATTCCCTTAATATTTCTCTTGTGGCCCGTCTTGTGGCCGAAATAAAGATGCTCTTAATTTTCATTGATGACTGCAGTGTTAATCATTTTAATTATAGGCCTATAATTCATTATATAAATTAATAGACCTGTTTTTATAATAAATATAATTAATAGGCCCTGCGTGCCCGTCCGCTATACCACCACTGTGTGGAAATAGTTGTATGAATTGTCGAAAAGAGGCTCCGCCCCTGTGTGTGTGTAAGGGGAAAGAGAGGGAAGGAGGGGGGAGAAAGGGTGCCTCGCTGGTTCAAGTGCGGTTCTCTTAGAAGTCGGGGTGTGTACGGCGTGGGTTGTGGCCGACAACAGCCCAAATAAACACCCCTTGTACATCAAAACGCCTCGTCCTTGTCGGAGAACGTTCAAATATTTTAAAATGTAAGTTCTGTGGGAACTGTGATAAATGTTTTCAGGATTCTTTGAAAGTTCAAAAGAACAGTATTTAAAACAACTATACAGCAATGTAAAAGTCTTTACTGTCACTCTTGATCAATTTAATGCATCGTTGGTGAATAAAAGTATATACTGTGATATACTGTAAAAGTTCAAAGTTAAAGCAAAAACATAAGTGCTGTACAACATTTACTAACATGATCTGGTTGAATTCATCTTCAGGTATTTTAATAATGTAGTTGCCTGAATGAAATCTAATGTAATCCCAAAAAAATTGTTTAATTCAATATTAATTTTGCAAGTGTTTTTGATATGTCAACCTCACTGGTGTAAACTGGGAATTTTAGATGAGATTTGAGGCTAGCTAAGCAAGGCTTTTGAAACCATTAAACCAATTTTCTTGTCATCTGAATTTCTGGGACCGGAGCAGCCAATAGGCTCCATCTATAAATGTACATAATTCTTTCAGATGTGTCAAAACAACTTATAGCACATAGGCAGAGGCGGCGATAGGGTGGGGCTTGACGGGGCTATAGCCCCATCAGAAACTTGCTTAACCCCGGCACAGCCCCCCCAAGGATTTCCTAATGATGTTCCTGTTTTTTGGTGTCACTTTTATAAACATTGAAAAATAAACATTAAAAACCTAAAAAAAAAATGGCCTAATATGTGGCCTATAAACAAATGATATTATGGGGGAGGGGTCAAGCAACACAAGCAGGCAAAGCGCAAACTGTGCGCAAGAGTTATGCCGGTGAACGTCAGTAAATTCACCATAGAGAAAGTGAAAGTAAAAAAACTGACGGAGCTTTCTACCGCTGCATTAACGGCGCATATTCTCTGAAACAACGAGAGACAAAACTACTTTAACATATGCTGAAAACGGTATATAACTGTCTTAAATTATTCCCTTAATATTTCTCTTGTGGCCCGTCTTGTGGCCGAAATAAAGATGCTCTTAATTTTCATTGATGACTGCAGTGTTAATCATTTTAATTATAGGCCTATAATTCATTATATAAATTAATAGACCTGTTTTTATAATAAATATAATTAATAGGCCCTGCGTGCCCGTCCGCTATACCACCACTGTGTGGAAATAGTTGTATGAATTGTCGGCACTTTATCTATTGTAAAAAAAAAAAAATGGTTAGAATTTACCATGTTTTCCTGCCAGTTGGCATTGAGAGTGACTGACACTTGATGGTCAGAAAAAATGACTAAATAGATATGTGTTAAAAAATAATAATAATAAAGAAAGAAAATAAAACAATAAAAAAATTTTTAAAAAATCCCACTTTCTCTCTTTTCTATGTGCGTTCATAAATTGTATTAAAGTGTCATAGTTGGCAGTTGGCATTAGAAGTTATATTACTAATAACAGTGGCATATGAGAAGTTTAAAACCACAGAAAAAAAATGTAAAATTTGCCTTTTTCGAAGTTGCTGTAGGCTATATAAAAAACACAAGGTGGCTGAATTTGCATGTTATTTAGATAGCTGAAGCTTATATAGTCGTTCATTAATTTCACTCAATTTAATTAGTTTTTTCGCACCCCCTCTGAACTGTTAAGCACCCCTTAGCACCCCCAACAAAAAAATCCTGGAGCTGCCACTGCACATAGGCCTATACATTTCACCACACTTCTTAAACCACAGTGTGAGGATGTAATAAATATGATTTTGTTTACTAAATTTTCATGAGTCCCTGAATATATTTTTATCTTTTTATAGAAGCCTGTATATAAAAACACATGAAACCACAGTGACTTATTTTCCCTGAGTTCCAGTGAGGTTCCCATGAACATGTTGTTCATGTTGATTGCATTACATGTCCACTTTAAAGGGGTCATATGATGCTATTTCAATTTTTCCTTTCTCTTTGGAGTGTTACAAGCTCTTGGTGCATAAAGAAGATCTGTAAAGTTGCAAAGACTAGTCTCAAATCCAAAGAGATATTCTTTATAAAAGTTAAGATTCAACCACACCTACCTAAAACGGCTCATTCTAACACGCCCCCACATGTCTACGTCACGATGTGGGAAGATTTGCAAGACGCCGCCCAAATGTTCACGCAAGGAAAGAAGGTGTAACTTTTATTCTCGCTGTAGTATTGTTGTTGGTTAGGGAAGATGCTGTGTGTTTCATTGTGAAATCGAAACTACTTTGTTTGGCCTTCCAAAAGAGGACGATATCCGCTTCGTCATGCCTAGAGCTGATCCGTGCTGGTTGCTGAGCGCTCTGGCTGGGACACGGCATCACAATATGGTAAGGGGCGTAACATTTCCGTCACACGCTTGAGGTATTCGGCCAATCACAACGCACTGGATAGCTGGCCAATCACAGCACACCTCGCTTTTCAGACCGATGAGCTTTGTAAAAATCGACGCGTTTCAGAAAAGCGGGGCATAGAGGAGAAACAATAATGTACAGTATGTGGAAAATAATGTGTTTTTTTTACCGTAAACCGCATAAACACATTTCATTACACCAAATACACAAAATAATGTTCTTTTTAGCAACATCATATGACCCCTTTAAGTACAATAGACATGAGTCAGTATCATGAATAGAAACGGATACAGAATTGCTCATTAAAACAGAAAAGTGCTTGGGTGATGGTGCATTATATACTTTTTCTGGATTAGAGTGGACAGTCAAAATCCATAAAAATAGGGCATAATGTACAGTAGAAATATGAAGGAATTTTCAAATTGTTTTACCTGTGTTTTATTTTGCACTGCATTAAGTTTTAGGGTTAACAGATATGTCTATAAAATTAATGGATAATATCCTGGCAGAAAATGACCAGTACTTTTTTCTTTTTTTTTAACAGTGTAGTTTTGGCTGGACGGAAAAAAAAACAACACTATGCAAACAAAAACTTAATTAAATTACTTTGGCATACCACCAAATTAGGTTAATATTATTAATAATATTGTGTGGATTCATTAAATTATTCATTGAATTGCAGGTATGAATAAAAGACAGATGTCGAAGATTAATTAGGTCTAACTGTGTGTTTCTGCCACAACAGTCACAGAAAAATGCAGGCAAGGCACTGATTTACTCAATACAAAATAGTGCAGTAAGAAATGTCTTTACATTGTCCGCAGAGGGATGCTTCAGTACATGTCATTCATTTATTTATTTCATATTTTATAGTAGGGTAAGATGACTGTTTTTTTGTTTTGTTTTTCAGCCTTGGTTCCCACTGTTCTGGTCTGTTACCAGCTGTGGCCTAAGGGCTACAACATCAGTTCATGAGTGTTTGGAGCTCATGGGATCACTGTTTCCTCACCTCAGGCCCAAACTGTGTTTGATGAGTCAGTGTTTTGAGGCTGAGAGACCCAAATGAAATTATTTTTTTAGTTCTTAAGTGAATTAGGACTAAACTTGGCAAGCAATAGAGGCAATTATACCATAAGAAGATCAGAGACTTGCTTCTTTTGAGTTCCTTTGCTTATGTTTGGACTGAGTTTTAAGGAAGTCAGATTTTCTTCAGTTTTCGTGAATAATTCGGTATCATCACTCTATTGGCATTGAGCGGTAGCAGGTTGAAGGTGGAGTAGTTCTGTTGAGACATTTATTTATAGTCAGTACCTACCACAATAATCTTTGAAGTTTGTATTTTGTTGATATTATTCAAAACTGTTTTCTATTTTAATATACTTTAAAATGTAATTTATTCCTGTGACGCAAAGCTGAATTTTCAGCATCATTACTCCAGTCTTCAGTGCCACATGATCCTCCAGAAATTATTTATTAGATATAAAATAAATTATGACATATTAATATAATTATTTAATTTAATTTCTGGGTTAACAAATGACAGTTTGTGAGCAACATGATTTTGGTTTCAGCTATAACAAACCTCTGTCTGGTCCACCAGTCTTTTTCACTTCAGGCTGTTTGGAATGTCATATAAACCTAAAATATAACATGTTAAGAAAGTCATCTTAAAGTCAAAGAATTTCACTGCCCTGACCCCCTACTGTCTACATCCCAACTTTTCTTACCTTGTGCTATTCCAGAGCAGCATGAAGCACAGGTACAGATCCTTCAGCCCAAGAATCAATCGCACAGGGCTGGGGCTCTTGATCCTCTTGCCAAAAGAGTTCATGTTCTGAATCATCCCCTTCATCTCTCCTCAGGAGAAGACATTCTAGCGTCTCCACCAGGTTATTTTGTGCCCACCACACAGAGAAGGGTATCAACTGGTTGGAAGATAGAAAGTTTGTGTATGAGCTAAATGAATGCCTCAGAACTTTTCCATTGTAAGTAAGCTATTCATATTCAGACCTTAATCTGGTTAGACGCCATATTGCATTTTACATGGATGAAAATGAGGCTGCGAGGGATAGGCTTGCAGTCTTTACAATGGCCTGTGCTGTAAAAAAGTCCTAGATCATGTAATTGTCAAAACTCACAACTTTCAATTATGTTTTATGGAGTTTTTGTGTAGTTAAAGTCTTTTGGAAAGATGTTTCGTCAGCTGAAATATTGGTATGTTGTTAAACAACAATGCAATCCATTGTACTTCAATCCATCACAGCTAACTAAACTAAACCTATAACTGAAATAACAATTATAAATATGCAGTCATATTTATAAAAAAATAAATAATAAAACAGACTCAACAAAATGACTAAAACTTTAAAATAAAAATGAAAATATAATAAAATATATTAATATATTTAAAAACAGCCGTTCGGTGCAACTGGCAGAGCTGAATGTAAAATTTAACACCGCATACACAATTCTAACCCTCGCCGAAGAAGAGCTTAACTTTAGATTGTTTACAAAAGAAATCTGTCAGTGTTCTTTTCATTTTCTCTCTTCTTCAGCCCTTTCTTTTTCTCACAGTAGTTAGCGGAAAGCAGTGACTGAGAGATTGACAGCTAATATTAACGTTTTCTATTTTAATATACTTTAAAATGTAATTTATTCCTGTGACGCAAAGCTGAATTTTCAGCATCATTACTCCAGTCTTCAGTGCCACATGATCCTCCAGAAATTATTTATTAGATATAAAATAAATTATGACATATTAATATAATTATTTAATTTAATTTCTGGGTTAACAAATGACAGTTTGTGAGCAACATGATTTTGGTTTCAGCTATAACAAACCTCTGTCTGGTCCACCAGTCTTTTTCACTTCAGGCTGTTTGGAATGTCATATAAACCTAAAATATAACATGTTAAGAAAGTCATCTTAAAGTCAAAGAATTTCACTGCCCTGACCCCCTACTGTCTACATCCCAACTTTTCTTACCTTGTGCTATTCCAGAGCAGCATGAAGCACAGGTACAGATCCTTCAGCCCAAGAATCAATCGCACAGGGCTGGGGCTCTTGATCCTCTTGCCAAAAGAGTTCATGTTCTGAATCATCCCCTTCATCTCTCCTCAGGAGAAGACATTCTAGCGTCTCCACCAGGTTATTTTGTGCCCACCACACAGAGAAGGGTATCAACTGGTTGGAAGATAGAAAGTTTGTGTATGAGCTAAATGAATGCCTCAGAACTTTTCCATTGTAAGTAAGCTATTCATATTCAGACCTTAATCTGGTTAGACGCCATATTGCATTTTACATGGATGAAAATGAGGCTGCGAGGGATAGGCTTGCAGTCTTTACAATGGCCTGTGCTGTAAAAAAGTCCTAGATCATGTAATTGTCAAAACTCACAACTTTCAATGATGTTTTATGGAGTTTTTGTGTAGTTAAAGTCTTTTGGAAAGATGTTTCGTCAGCTGAAATATTGGTATGTTGTTAAACAACAATGCAATCCATTGTACTTCAATCCATCACAGCTAACTAAACTAAACCTATAACTGAAATAACAATTATAAATATGCAGTCATATTTATAAAAAAATAAATAATAAAACAGACTCAACAAAATGACTAAAACTTTAAAATAAAAATGAAAATATAATAAAATATATTAATATATTTAAAAATATTAATAAAAACTATAATAATATCACAATGATACTAAAATAGCACTGGTGTATTGTCTAGATGATTACACTCTGTGACCTGTTTAACCATAACATGGTATAACCCATCCTATGAATAAATAAAACAGCCAAAACTAGCATACAAGCATATGGAATTGAACTTTTACAAAGCAAGTTCTATATAAATAGACATATTATCAAAAATTCTGTGAATTTTCTTCTCACCTGTCTTTGCAGATACACCTGATAGCATCTGTCCATCACTTCTTCCATCAGTTCTGCTATGATATCCACCACCGCCTCCTCACCCTCCTCCTGGGAGAGCATGCTGGTCCAGGTGGACTCTGTAAGGCGGCCTGGGACAATGTCCACGGTCTCAATAGGCTGGACCGATGCAGTATTACCTGGGACAGAATCAGTGCGGCTTTTATCGCCCCGTGATTTGGCAGCTGAGCGACGCATGGTCTTCACCTCCTCGGGGGAAAAAAAAATTTAATTAAAATAACCATGGGGCCGGAGGCAAAGCAACAGGACACCAAAAAATGCATTCTTAGCTGACATTTGGAACAAGCACCATGTAACTGCACATGCTAAAATCCTAATGTAGTACAACGTAGAATAAACAAAATGATAAATTAAGGATATTTTAGTTATTAGTTGTCACACGTGGGGCATTGTCAAAATATGTTTTTCTCAGTAACTACTATCTTTTGAGTCCAAATACAAATTCAAATGTTTGTTTTCTCTGGTTGTGAGGCTGGAGTGTCCGAATTCGGAATAGCATACTAACGTTAGTATACTACTCTAACTATTTGCGCCATATAAATAATATGGGTAAGTATGTTAGTAGGCTTTTTTTTTTACCAACTGCTAGTATGCTGGCAAAGATAAGAATCATTTCATGTGCTGTTCAAAAATAGGCATATAATTCATAAAATAGTAGGGTAAGATGACAACCTATACTAACGTGCAAACAAAAAGCAGTATTTTCCAACACTCCATTGTATGTTATTCGCAGTTAACGTTAGGAGTAGCCTACACTTCTATTTCAAAAGCGCCGCTTCTGAAGTTATACAACTAATGACGGAGTCTGCAAAAACTTTTCAAACATTTTCACCATTAAACGTATTAAAGCAGAAGAGAAGACATATGTCAGTAACATTACACACTCACCCGTATTTGATATGTTCTACTTGTGTTGTTGGCTTCGGATCTGGTTGCCAAGCAGCCAGAGGCCTCTGACGTAAGGGTTCTGCGGGGGGCTGAGCATGAAGACACCGGAAACGACGAAATATTGCAGCCTGATCCAAGCTACCTGATGATGGCAGTAATGTATGAGGCGTCGGGCTGGACAAAAGTGAAGCGAACGCGGAGAGACAGAGCGACAGTTCGCGAGAGAGGCCGAGTGTGTCCGAGAGAGAGCGAGATGCGCGAAGAGATGTATAGAAAGCCATGCAAAGTTAAAACAGTTTAAACTTTTAGAAAACACGTCACGAATTTGTGGAGGTTTATTCATTTTCACAGCGTCTTATATGTTTTTAAATGCAATCTGTGTGAATGGCGCTTCGGCTCTTTGGATTAAGCAATGCATAAATACATGATGCTGTTTTAGTTCATAATTGTTTATGCAATTTATGAAATTATATTTGATTTTTGTGAGTGAATTTAGACGTAATGCACGTTTTTATAGAGTTACTTGCTAAATGCGCAGCATTATTTTGCTCAATGCGCCCTCCTGTGGCCTCGGGAGACAATTAGACCTATACAATAAAGACCTATTTAATCTGCATATAAAACAATAGAAATTAGATATTTGTTTAATTTTTATTGTTTGATTCTTAAAAAAAAAATTGTTGTTTGTCTCAATAAATTGTGTTAATTATAAATACAGTGGATAAATAAAAAAAAAAGTTCTATTGCTTTTTGTTTTAAAAAAGGTTATAAAAAATGTCAATAATTATCGATACCGAACGATATGAAACATTATATCGTTGATTAATGTTTTTAGCTATATCGCCCAGCCCTAAGCTAACATACACTTGCTGCACGTCGCATAAAACGTTTAAAAATGTCAATATGTGGGAGTAAGAGAAGAGCAGACATTTATAGATAAATCTGACGACGCAAAAGAGAACTCAATTCGGTCCGGTTTTCTGAGCGCAGACACTGAAGCATACACACACAGAAAGCGCGTCTCACAATTACACACAAAATGATGTCGAATTGTCCGTTTTGATGAGTATTCACGTAAACACAGTTGACTACGTCTTAAGTGAACGTAAACAGTAGGGAGAACGTGCATTCGGTTTTAAAGGGACAGCAGCCTAATCTAGTTGCTATTGTCCGAGTCACTGATGTTAATCAAGCAACAAAAGAAAGAAAGAAAATCACGCACCACTCTTGACTGAAAAACTTTAGTAGCCCTAAAGATTAATCTAAATTTATTTATGGAAATAAATATGTCTGCTTGAAAGAATGAAGAATATGGTTAAAAAGTAAAGAATGCATAATTAGTCTATATAACCATTGGTATTTAATTAAAAAGAAGACCATGTTCTTGTTCTTTATGAGAAGTGGTTTTATTTAATTTTAACATAAAGTCATGTTTTGTGTCACCGCAGTTAAATAGGTGTCTATCATGATAAAACCTTCATATCAAACCTATATAATCAGTTTGGGAATTTGGGAATAAATGCACTGTAACTAAACCCATTAGATTTTAGCCAACTACATTTACATTTATAAAACTTATTATATTTAGTCGACTAAAACTAGACTAAAACTAAAAACAATTCAGGTGACTAAAATATGACTAAAACTAATATTAGTTTTCAAAAGACTATGACTAAAACTAAATCAAAATTTGCTGTCAAAATTAACACTGTATCACTATCAACCAATATTTTCGCTAGGTCCATGCTTCAGTGAGCAGAGCAGCTGAGTTTTTACAACTTACGACAGGAGTGGAGTTTCCACCTCCAGACACAATGCTGGATGCTTATTTGCAGTTTGAAGCCCTCACAGATCATGAATACAAGTATTCATGCCCCACCTGTGGCGATCATCCTCCGGTGGTACTCATGGGTGTACACAAACAGACTGCTTCTCCATTATCTGGTATAAAAATTGTAATGCTGTTCATTTGCCAGTTTAATCCTTTAATACTCTTTTGACATGTTGTACTTGTCATAGTAAAATACTCATGTTATGTTTTCAGAAAATGACATTGAAAAGCCTCCAGAGAATTTTAAAGGGGAGGTCAGTCTGGAAGAGTTCTGGGAGTCACTGTCCAAAGAGATGACCTGTCGAGGATTTGTTGCGAGTACATGCATATAGTGCATATTACACTATATAGTAAACTTTTGAAAAGAATGCATCTTCTGATTTTTATTTATTTTTTTCTTCTGCTGTTTTAGATGGCGAACACAATCCATTTGCAGTACCGCCAAGTTATCACTTCTGGGCTCCTTGGATTGGCAAAAACACACGTCACTCAGACACTGTGCTAAACACGGAGTTTGAGAAAGTCCACACTTCATCAGAGATTTTAAAAATGACAGTTACAGAGGAAAGACTCGGAGAAGAACTTTTCAAACAGAAGCTTTGCTTTATTAGTAGAACAACACTTTCAATGGCTTTGAATAAATGAGTTGCATTCAAATGAACATTTGTGAAATAATATTGGTTTTGATAGGATGACGTGATTCGAACTTTATGCATTGAATGTGATGTGGACTCCACTGGATCTCGCAGCGATCTCCTTCTTAGATTGTACAATGAATTGAAATCCAAGCAAACATATGACAAAATCTGTTCAAAAATCTGGAGTGCCTCTGGTGAGTTAAATTTTTACTCTACTGTTTTAACTCTATTCCTGTAAATGTGTGGTATTGTGGAATTAATTAGTGCTTCTAACATAAAAAAAAAAAAAAGATTATTTGCCAAATCAAAGTCAGTAGGTGTGAACAACATTCAGAGATGTTGACCTTTTAATGACAAGGCAAACATAGTTAAAAAATATTATTTCCCCATAAAATATTTATGAATTAGTAATTCATAGCTTTTGTAAAAGCACGTTTTACCTTCTAAAGAATGCATGTCCAAAAGTTTGGGTCAGAAAGATTTGTTTTGTTTTGTTTTTGATTTTGAAAGTCTCTTATTCTCACTCTCACAGACTGCATTAATTTTATTATAAATTCAATAAAACACTAATATTGTGAAATATTACAATAAAAATACTATTTTCTGTTTGAATAAGTTTTAAAATGTAATTTATTCCTGTGACGGCAAAGCTGAATTGGTTCTCAAGAAACATTTCTTATTATTATTAATGTTAAAAACAGTTGTCGCTTAAAGGGGTCATATGATGGGAAATCAAGTGATTTTGGAGTGTTACAAGCTGTTCGTGAATAGATACGATCCCTGAAGTTGCAAAGACTAAAGTCTCAAACCCAAAGAGATATTCTTTATCAAAGTTAAGACTCTGCCACACCCCCCTAAAACGGCTCGTTCTAACACGCCCCCACATATCTAGGTCACTATGTGGGAATATTTGCATAATGCGCCCAAATGTGCATGCAAAGAAAGAAGGCGTGGTTTCAGTAACCGCAGTTAGTGTTGAAGCAGCCATGTCAGGGAGACGCTGTGTGTTTCTAGGTGAAAGCAAAAGCACTTTATTTGGCCTTCCGAAAGTAGATGCATTTAGGAATCTTTAAGATCACTTACAACAGAACAGCAATGCATTTTATGGACGACCGTTTCATGAACCTAGGAGAGGAGGTAATTCTGACTTTGCTATGACAATCTGGCGCTTCTGAATCAGCCACTGTAAGTATGTTTTGTTACTAGTTTAAGTATTTGCTATTGACTGTTCAAATGCGGAGTTTTGCGCATCGTGTGTGTGTGTGTGTGTGTATGTGTGCGCGCGCGTGTGTGTGTGTGAGAGAGAGAGAGACAGCGTCTCTCTTTGTAGACTTTGTAGAAAACGAAGCGTTTGAGAGAGGCAGGGCATAGCTGGGTGTGTGTTCACGGTGTGTGTGTTCACTGCTGTGTGTGCGCACTAAGGATGGGTTAAATGCAGAGCACTAATTCCTAGTATGGGTAACCATACTTGGCCACACGTCACTCACTCACTTAAGTGTATTTTTAAATATTTCAAAAGTATTTTAATACAAGATTTAGATTTAAATATTAGAAGAAATTTCCATTTCCTCTTTCAGTTTGTCATTAACCTATTCAATTGTTTGTTTGTTTTTTCTTCTCTTTTGTGTGTTGTTCTGTCTTTTATTAGGAGGCTGGGGAGTCATTATGTGCCCCTGTGGAATTTTTTACAGCCTAAAATGTAATCTTCGAGCTGAGGGCCCTCAAGATTTTGCTGATTTGCTATTATCATGGCATCATATGCCTAATGTCATAATTTATGACTTTGCACAGGCTCTTGCAAAACACACCAATCTAAGGGCACCAGAAAAGTTACCCATCTCTCCATTTGAAGGATGCCTGGTGGAACCCACTCAAGCTAACAAAGAACTGGCCAGATGTGGACAGCTGAAAGTGTCTGTGCCCTGGCTGGATGAAAAAACCAGAGGGACAGATCCTCATGGACACCCAGTGACGGGTGCAGCTGACCATTACGTACTTTGTGACCATTCTCATGAAGGCAGCACAGATGGAGATGTTCTGAGGAAGCTCACCCTCGTGCCTCAGCTGGCTGACAGAGTCAGTAGTCAGATTTCAGAGCAACTGTTTGCTCAAATGAAGAAGAACGACTACTTTTTGAACATGTCTTTGCCGTCAACACATCTGTTTCAAATGAGGAACATCATTCACCACTATAATGAAAACAAGGCCAACAAGCTGAGCACCAGATCAACCAAGAGTCTTGGATCCAACTTCCTGACTGAAGCGTTGTTGGGTAAATTTTTGATTTACGTAATATTAAGCAACATCTGAAATGTAGTGGAAAGGCATTGGCAAAATTACATTAAAATAAAATTGGGCTTGTAACTGTAGATTTGTTTGTTGTAATAGAATCCTAAACCAGAAGCACAGATGATGTGATGGAGGACACAATCTTGACATCTTTGATGTTCCTGAGCAGCAGTGGTAAGTGTTTTTATTTTTAAGTGGAATCACAAAGGCCTTTATTTATCCTGAGACTGGTTATAAGGGATATTTCAATGATTATTTAAATGTTGTGTTCAAACACCTTCTAATAGAGTGCCAAGTCATGGACAATCAGCAGTGGTACATAGACTATAG